ACAGTTTGTTGGTTATAGTTGTTCACAGTAGCCTTTTATGATCCTTTGTATTTTTGTGGTATCAGTTGTAATGTCTCTTTCATTTATAATTTTGTTGATTTGGGTCCTCTTTACTTATTGGTTTGTCTAGCTAAAGGTTTGCCAATTTTGTTTTTTATCTGTTAAAAAGAACTACTCTTAGTTTGTTAATCTTGTTTTTCTATTTTATTTATTTTTGTTCTAATCTATTTTTGTAAATTTTTTTGGGGTAATTTTGGGCTTAGTTTGTTGTTATTCTGTTTCCTTGAGGTGTAAAGTTATGTTTAAGCTCTCTATTTTATTGATGTATGTGTTTATAGGTAGAACTTTTCCCGTTAGAACTAATTTTTCTGTATCCCATAATTTTGGCATATGGTGTTTCCTTTTTGTTGTTGTTGTTTGTTTCAAGATACTATTTTATTTTCCCTATAATTTCTTTGACTCATTTCACTCATGTGAGTGTTGCTTAATTCTTGAATTTTCCTGTTTTCTTTCTGTTATTGGTTTCTAGTTTCATACCATTGTGGACAGAGAATATACTTGGTATGATTTATTTGTTTTAATTCACTAAAACTTGTTACCTGGCCTAACATATGGTCTACCCTAGCAAATGTCCCATGTGTACTTCAGAAAAATGTGTATTTTGCTGTTGTTGGATGAAATGTTCTAACTGAAATTTAGTGTCTCTCATTAGTGGTGGCTAAAAGTCCAAGATCAAGGTCTTGGCAGAGTTGGTTCCTTCTGATGGCATGAGGAAAAATCTGCTTCATGCTTCTGGTGATTTGCCGCCAATCTTTGGGATTCCATGGCTTGTAAATGCACCACCTCTATCTTAGCTTTCATCTCTACATGGTGTTGTCCCTGAGTGTCTGTTTTATGTGTCTATTTTTATGTCCAAATTCCACCCTTCCTTTGTTTTTTAAAGATTTTATTGGGGAATTGGGGAAGGGAACAGTGTTGGGGAATTGGGGAAGGGGAACATTGTGTTTTTGCAGGACCCATCATTTCCAAGTCAAGTTATTGTCCTTCAATCTTAGTTGTGGAGGGTGCAAGCTCAGCTCCAAGTCCAGTTGCTTCTTTAAATCTATTTGGAGGGGGGGTGGCACAGCCCACCATCCCATGTGGGAGTCAAACTAACAACCTTGTTGTTAGGAGCACGTGCTCTCACCTGCTGAGCCATCCTGCCACCTGTTGGCAGCTCAGCAGCAGCTCAGCTCAGGCACAACTTACTGACTCATGTGGGAATCGAACTGGCAACCCTGCTGCTCAGAGCTCGCACTCTAACCAGCTGAGCCACCTGGCTGGCCCTAAATTCCCCCCCCCACCCGGTTTTTAATTCTTATAAAAACACCAGTTATATTGGATTATGGCTCATCTTAATGACCTCATGTTAACTAATTACATCTTCAATAACCTTCTTTCTAAATAAAATCACGTTTGGAAGTATTGAGGGGCTAGGACTTCAAAATATGAAGTTTTTGGGAACACAATTCAATCCATACCATTCTATCTGTTTGTCAAAACTGGATTTATAATGTGAATGCTTGATTTGCTTTTGTAATTTATTGTAGATACATTACCATGCTGATATATACAGATCTACAGATTTGGGCATAATATTCCATAGTATGCATTATGGTAATTTGTTTAGCTACTCATTGAATGATGAACTTTTGGATGAGCTTCTACTTTACACTATTACAAACAACTCTGCAAAAAGTGTATTTGTGTATATTTGTAACTTTATATTTGTAACCATATATTTATAACTTTATGTATGTATATTTCTTTTGAGGTGGATGCATATAAGTGAAATTAATAAGGCAAAACTTTCAGGCATTTTAAATTTTGTTAGGCATAGCCAAATTTTTTTTTCTAGAACTTTAGGGCTTTATCTCTTTACCCCAACATTACACAAGCACTATGTTACAAAATTCTTTAGTTCTTGTAACTTACGCCTCACCCCCATTCTTTGCCCTGTTCTTGCCCTCTCCTTACTGCCTTATTGAGTAGTTGGACTTTCCAGGAGGCTGATTAGCCAATAAAGAGAGGACAATCCTAATTTTTAGAAAACTTTCAGCTCCCTCTATCTCTCTCTTTTTTTGTTTTATATAACACCAGAGGGGGCTTTGAAATGCAAATTTGAAAATATTGACACCTTCAAAACACCTTCAAAAGTTCTTCTTTGAAGTTAGTGTAAAGTTGGTATATCTTATCTTGGCACAGAAGGCTATTCTTGACCAGACCTAGATTACTGCTTCTGCTCTCTTACCTACCACTTCACTCTATTTTGAGTTATATTGAGTTAGTTTTCTGTTCTAAGAACCTGGACTGCTCTTTTATCCTTTGTCACCTCTGAATACCATTTTCCTTTTGCCCGGAGAGTTACCCTTACTCTTTCAACCCCACTGTCCATCTAGGAAGCTCCGTCTTCCTCTTCAAGTAATTTTTTCATTTTACATTTAAAATACAGATAAAAAGAACACCTGAATCTTGATTTTGTAATATCTCAATGAGATAATCCTATTTAAAGTCATCATCACACAGCCAAGTACATAGTAAATATTCCCCAAAAATGTAAAATTTTCTTCCTCAATTTTCTTCATGAGACATTTTTGTGACATAAGGTATATCATCAGTAAAATAAAAAAGAATAAATTAACTTAATATAGTACATGACAAGACATCTGTACTCAGTAAATGTGGAACTGAGTTGAATGGATTGGTTAAAACCAAGATATATATAATAATATTGGTTGCATTCCCTGATTCTGGTAGATTGGTTGGTAAGATTTGCATGTTTGATTTTCTAAGCATTTCATTACATGTCCCATATACCCATCACTTAGTCTCAGTGGTTACCAACATTTTGATGATTCAGGTGTGACTTTTTTTTTTAAGATTTTTATTGGGGAATTGGAGGGATGGGAACAGTGCTGGGGAATTGGGGGGAGGGGAACAGACAAGTTGCTGTCCTTTTGTTCTTCAGTCTAGTTGTGGAGGACGTTGCTTCACTGGCCCAAGTTGGCACCATCATTGCGCTCTTTCCGGGTGAGGCAGATCAGTCGTCGGCTTCTGGACGGCCACTCACTGCGGCTGCTGGCCACTCACGCTGGCTGCTGGCTACATACGGTAGCCCATGGCAACCCACTGCCACAGGGGCTGCAGCCTACGCCATCGCCGGCGACTCATGGCAGCCCAGCTCCAGGTTGAGCTGTTGTTCAGCATCTTAGCTGTGGAGGGCAGTGTCACTGGCCCTCATATGTGGAATCCGAACCGGGGCCCTCTGGCATCCCAAGTCAGTTCTTAACCATCACGCCACTCGGCCGGCCCCAGGTGTGACTTATTCTTAACAAAACCTCTCTGTTTGTAACTGCTGTCACTTCACTGTGTTCCTCACACATCTAGTCCTTTTCTGGAAATAATGGTAATGCCTGCCATTCTGTAACTTCCAAAATATTATTTTCTTTCTTTTTTGCTGTCTGTCTCCAGTCTTCTGGAGTGTTCTTCATCTTTGCCAGTGTCTTAGTCTGTTTGAGCTGCCATAACAAAACTACCACAGACTGGGTGGCTTAAGCAACAAATCTTTATTTTTCATAGTTCTGGAGGCTGGAAATCCAAGATCAAGTCTCCTACTGATGAGCTGGTTCCTGATGAAGACCCTCTTCCTGACTTGCAGGCAGTTATTTTCTCACTGTTTCCTCACATGGTGATCAGGGTGAGGGCGTCTCTATAATAAGGTCACTAATCCCATCATGAGGGCTCCACCCTCAGGACCTAATTAAGGCCTCCCAAAGGTCCCACCTCCTGATATCATCACATTGGGGATTAAGATTTTAACGTTTGAATTTAGGAGGGACACAGATGTTAGATCCATAACAGCCAGTAATCCTGCAATTCCCTTCTCATGTCCACTAAGAACCCTCTGATAAAATTCTTCTTAGCTGGAGGCAAAACTTCCTAGTAGCCCTTCAAAACTTGCTTTATTTTTGCTCTTCCTAATTGGTCTTGCTTACTTTATGCTTTTCATTCTGATTCACGCTTGACTGGGAAGATGGAGACCAGTGGGTGGGTATGTGCTTCTGTTTCCTTTAGATCATTTGTTCATGCTGCACAGTCTGAACGACTTCTTTCTGTGTTTCTATTTTCCCTGATTCTCAGACACTTTACAGCTTGAAAACATGTGATGGCTAAGGATTCTGGCAGGAAGAAATATGACTGCATGAGGTGTTCTCAAATCAAGGTCTGTGTAAGGCCTAGTGCATGTGCCTTTCTGTACACTGCATACCACCCGCTGAAATGTGGTGCAGGAGTGACACAGCTCTCTGTTTCAGAGCCCTCATGCTCTTATTGGGTGAGAAAATATGCTCAACTTGACCCAAGAGTAGTACATCAAAAACCTTAATTTCATTGAGTATAATGCATAGCTAGGGCTTTACACTCTGTGAGGAGTCTCACGGTATAGAAGGAGTGTGACAAGGACAGAAGGGACAACAGAGGGAGGAATGACAATAGCAGGTTCTTTGACCTTAAGAAAAACACATAATGTGAGATTTCTAATCTGTAAAAAATATGCAACAGTTACAGCTGTATTGCCTCTTGCCTGGTTAGTGTAAGAATCAAATCAAGTAGATCTTTGTGATGTGGGAATTATTAGTTTGGGACAGTCTTCTTGGAAGAAGTGGTTGTGAGGAGCATATATGGCCAGAGGGAGCATATGTAAGAAGGAGGAGGATCGTGGAGGGAATCTGGAGCAGTCTGTTTTCACTCTGTTGTTTCTGATCCCAGCAAAGCATCTGCGTAGATCATCATTTGTTTCTCCTATGGGACCAAATTCAGGGATTTATGCTCCCCTCAGGTTATATCCCAGCTGTTGGCTCCTGATTTTAAAGTTGAAGGGTGCAGCTCTATCTGTGGTGATAGCTGTGCAATGTCCGAGGGAGGCTGACCACTGAGAACTTGTGTCCCTGTTTCTTCTGCAGGTTGGTGAACTCTGGCCTTACATCATCCTGCTGTCCAGCTCTGTCCTCGGTGCTCAGTGCTAACCAGAATCTCACACACCTGTACCTGCGGGGCAATGCTCTTGGAGACATGGGTGTCAAGCTGCTCTGTAAGGGCCTCTTGCACCCGAACTGCAAACTTCAGTTACTGGAGTAAGTCTCTTAGCTTGTTATGGTGACAGGAACACATGGTGGCTGAGGGTGGGGCAGTGGTGGAGTCTAGGGGGGTTATGATGAGATTGTCTGTATCTAAGAAGTGATGGTGTCTTCTGCGGGTTTGGCTTATTACATAATCATGGTCTGGTCGGAGTTCTAGTTCTAGATGGTGTAAAGGTAAATACTGGAGTTCCTTTTTTCACAAATCTCTCACAACAAAAGAGTGGGGTTGGTATGGCTCTTGTGTTTTAAGGAAATTTAGAAGGAGACATAGAATTTGGGAAAATTCAGTTCACAAACTACGATTACTAACTTGATCTGCATAATCCAGTAGACTGGAAAAAATACTGTCACCTGAAACGCAGAGAAGAATAACCATGGGCACATACAATTGTTCCAAGCTTGTTAGGCCTTTTCTTTTTCTGCATTTGAAACATTACAGGCTAAGATCTGGGAGACCTGGGGGATGGTAAGGGGACATTTTATTTAAGTCACCCTCTTCTTGCAGACTAGATGACTGCAGTCTCACCTCGCACTGCTGCTGGGATCTGTCCACACTTCTGACCTCCAACCGGAGCCTGCGGCAGCTGAGCCTGGGCAACAATGACCTGGGGGACCTGGGGGTCATGATGTTCTGCGAGGTGCTGAAACAACAGGGCTGCCTCCTGAAATGCCTGCAGTAAGTGCTCCACAGACACCAGCCGCAAGGCCCAGGTCCTGAGGAGAAGCTGGCCGGCCAGTGACCGAATCCAAAATGGTTCATTTGTGCTCAGGCTGAGGTTGGGCCTGGGCCAGGTGTTGTAGATTTTTTTATATGGTCGATAAATTATAAACTACATATTCAACTTCATCCAGACATTTCGGATATTCAAGGTTCGGTTGGTTGTGAAAAGATTTTCCATCCATCTTTTTTTTTTTTTAAAGATTTTTATTGGGGAATTGGGGGATGGGAACAGCGCTGGAGAATTGGGGGAAGGGGAATAGAAAAGTTGCTGTCCTTTTGTTCTTTAGTCTAGTTGTGGAGGATGTTGCTTCAATGGCCCAAGTTGGCACCATCATTGCACTCTTCCCGGGCGAGGCAGATCAGTCGCCAGCTTCTGCACGGCTGCTCACTGCGGCTGCTGGCCTCTCACGCTGGCTGCTGGTGACACACAATAGCCCATGGCAACCCACTGCAGCAAGGGCTGCAGCCTACGCCATAGCCAGCGACTCCATCCATCTTCTTAAAAGAAACATTAGTCCCCAATGAAAGGAGCCAAATGGATTTATATTTCTACTTAGAACTAGACAAGGTTCGTCCTGATTGCAAAGGTTTTGGCATGGTGGTGTGTGTGTGTGGTGTTGGTCTTGTTTTTGAGGATTTCTAAGTGAAAGATAGTGCTTTAGAAACATAAAGATGAGAAATTCCATAAAATTCAGCTAATGCAGTGTGTTGGGACCGCTGGCTCCCTCCCGTCATGGGGACACCACTAAGATACTCACTACCTCTCTAGTAAGAGCTTTCTGTTAGTCTTGTGACTTCAGCCAGTCCTGAGGACCACACTCCTCACTGAAGAAACTCCCATTTCTTTCACTTGGCTTCAGGGGTGACATGCTCTCCTTTGGATTTTCTCCTCCTTTAACTGTTTCTTCTCAGTCTCCTTTTTGTCTTCTCATCATCCTGATATTCATACGCTGAGTCCTTGGGACACAAACATTGGTAGTTTTTCTTCTCTAAACTTACTCTTTCATTTATATCATCTAGTCTTCTGGCGTTACCACATATGTGCTTTATTCCCCACTTTATAACTCTGTGGATTCCGTGTCCAAATGCTTATCTTATCTTTCCCCTTGGATGTCTAATAAGCCTCCCAAACTTCATGTGAACAAACCCAAACCCACACTGTTCCACTCTGACACCTGTTCCTTCCTCTTCTCACTCAGTGGCAACTGTCTCAATTGCTCATGCCAAAAAATTCCTGCTCTCATGTCTGATGCCCTTTTTTGTGATGTGTACATCTCATCCACTAGCATGTACTGTTAGCTCAGCTGTCACAGCATGCCTGATTGGTGACAACTTCCTGCCTGCTTCATGGTTCCTACCCTGGTTCAAGCCACTATCACCTCTTGTCTGGATTGTTATGGTGGCATTCTGCCAGGCTACTCTGCATCTATTTTTCTTACTGTAGCAGATGGAGGGTGTGGCTAAAACATGAGTCAGTGACTTCCTATCACATCCAGTTAGAGACATAATGTTTGTGGCAGATCTCAAACCCCATGTGCTTTAGCCCCTGCTGCTCCTGCAAACCACCTTCTCCTAACCTCACACTGGTCTCCTTGTTATTTCACAAAAACACTGTCATCTCTAGAACTTTGCACTTGCTGTTTCCTCTGCCTGGACTTTCTCCCTTTGATATCTGCGTGCCTTGTTCCTCACATCCTTAAATCATCTGCTTAAAGATTCTCTGCTGTGTGAGTGTCTTACCATCCTGTTGAAAACAGCATGCTCTTTCTTCTTTTCTTCTTATTTTCCTCCACAGTGTTACCACCATCACAGATGTTATGTCATATTCTTGTTCATGTATTATCTGTATCTTACCCCAAGAAAGCAAAGTCTATGAGCCCCTTACTTAAAGTGACCCATGGAAGGGGTCACTTCCATGACCCCAAGGCTGCAAACTGACTTGAATACAGGTTTGAATAAATGCAAGTTTGAATCAGCATTGTGTTCTTGTGCAGACATAGTGGAGCACATTTGCTGCAGGAAAACCCCAAATTCCCAAAGCTAAGAGAAATAGAAGAACAGAGGAAGGGATTGGTCAGGATAAAGCTGGGGACATTGCTGTCTGTGAATGCGATTATCTTGTCTTGTCAGCTTGGCTGCCACAACAAAATAGCACAGACTGGGTGCCTTAAACAACAGACATCTATTTCTCACAGTTCTGGAGGGTGGAAAGTCTGAGATCATGGTGCCAGCTGATTCGGTTTCTGGTGAACATGCTCATCTGGGCTGGCAGATGGTGCCCTCTTCCTGTGTTCTCACATGTCAAAGAGAGAGAGACTACTCTGGTATCTCTTCTTATGAGGACACTAATCCCACATGAGGACCAACCACCATGTTCTCACCTAACCCTAATTACATCTCCAAACCATCTCCAAATACCATCACATCGAGAGTTAAGGCTTCAACATGGGAATTTTGGAGGAACATAGATTTTCAGTTCATAACACAATAAAACCAAGATTGTTAGAAATTATGCAGGGCAAATGGTATGATTTCTAAGTTACAAGAAAAATTAAAAAAAAGAAGAGGAAGAACATATCAAAGAAGACTTGAGAGGCATACCAAGCAATTGCAATGTGTGGACTTTATATGGCTCTTGATTAAATGAACATAATATAAAAAAAATTATCAGACAGTTGAGGAAATTTAAACACTGATTGGACATATGTTGATATTAAGGAATTATTAACTTTTTAAAAGCTGTGATAATGGTATTATGGTTATGTTTTCAAAAGCCTTCCTCATTTAGTGTTGTACAGTGAAATATTTAAAGATGTATAGCATACTGTGTTTAAAATTGAGGGCCGGCCGAATGGCTCAGTTGGTTAAGAGTTAGCTTAAGAGTGCGAGCCCTGAGCAACAGGGCCGCTGGTTCGATTCCCACATGGGCCAGTGACGCTGAACCAGAGCTGAACTGCCACTGAGCTGCCAACAGGTGGTAGGATGGCTCAGCTGGTGAGAGCACGTGCTCCTAACAACAAGACTGCCTGTTCGATGGTGGGCTATGCTCACCTGCAACTAAGACTGAACTCGGAAACTTGAGCTGAGCTGTCGCCTGGATGGATCAGTGGATAGAGTGTGCGCTCTTAACAACAAGGCTGCTGGTTCAACTCCCACATGGGATGGTGGCTATGCCCAACTGCAACTAAGATTGTAACACAGCACCTTGAGCTTAGAGGCCACGAACTGCTGACGGGCAGCCAGATGATGACTGGCGCCCTCCACAACTAAGATTGAAGAACAACAACTTGGCTGGTCCCCCTCCCCAATTCTCCAACACTGTTCTGCTCCCCTAATTCCCCCCCCCAAATAATAATAAAAAAATAAAAACAATCAATTGATGAGAGGATTGGGTGGGGGGAAAATGAAACAAGCTTGGCCTGTGAGCTGTTAACTGTCAGACCTGGATTGTGGGAGCCTGGGGATTCATTACACTATTCTCTCTATATTTACATATATTTAAACGTTTTCAAACTTGAAGGTTACAAATGTAACAGAAACTACATTAGGTATGAAGAGTAGCACTGGAGAATTTAGAAGTGTGTGAGGATAAGGAAAGTGAAATGAGATTTTTAAAGCCAAATACTCTGAGATTGTTCATTTGAAGAGTATAATCTAAGGCCCTCTATTTGCTTTTACAGGTTGTGTAAAATGTGTCTTAATTATGCTACAATCTGCGCATTAGAAACACTTCAAGAAGAAAAGCCGGAGCTGACTATTGTCTTTGAGCCTTCTCAGTGGTGATGGAGCCTCCAGCGTTTTGCTGTCCTGTCATCCATGTGTGGACAAGGGGCCATGAGCGCTCCTCCTTTGGGGTTAGCACCGTGCTCTGCAAGTCTGTGGCCCTGCATGGGAGAGCAAAGCTCGCAGATGATGCCTGTGCAGAGAGACCTTAAGTGTCTTGTTTAACCCAGGTTAAAGCACCAGGGCTATGAAATCACCCATGTGATATGGGTCTCGTCACAGCATTTTAGTCAGAGGATGTGTTCCTCTTGGTGACCTCATGTAACTAATTCATTCACTAAAGCACTTTATCTATTTTTCTCTTTTTACTCTTTCTAAATCTCTTTTCCTTCCTATCTTTTCCCTTTCTTTGTTTGGTTTACTCCTGCCAACTTTCTCTTAACTGTCCATAGCAGAATGAGTTACCTATTATTACGTTGCAATTGTGTGACAGCAATTTATTTATTTTTAATTTTTGTAACAGTCATATTTTCTAATAAAATAATTCGTGTTTATTGTAGCTGGTTGAAAATTCATCGACTATAGCAACTTTGTGGTGTTTATTGAGTTAAATTGTTTTCTTTCTCTAATTTTAAAAAAGGGTCCCTGGAGATCTTTTTACTTATTTATCTAAACTGCTGAAGATAAATTAATTTGTTTTATGCATTTAAAAAATCTCTTTGCCAAATTATACAGTTGTAATGAATGGGGAAAAAAATCACCTTACCATAACTCTGAGGGTTGAAACATCAGCTCTGGTAGGATAGGAGGTTGAAAATCATGCAAAGAAAGGTTTTAGAGTAGACGGAGCCTATACTCATAAGTAGATGTATTATGTACAAAATGCATTTTGCTTTCAGGTACAAGAAATTATCTTGGATTTATATCACCCCAGGATTGATCTCATCTACCACTCTTCACATAGCATTGTCATTAATAAATATTGATTAATTGCTTCTCTATACACAGGGCAACTCTTGAACCCATGGGATTGCTTAGGATGGAAATACTACTTCTGCTGTCAAATGAACTATCCAGACTTCGCTACTCAAAGTGTAGCCTTACGGATTGTTGCTATCAGGAGCTTGTGCAAGAATGTAAATCAATCACATTGCTAAGTATGCTTTTAAGATAAGCTGACTTTTCTTCATGGCAAGGCTTTCTCAATAAGGAAGCAGTATGTGATTTATATTCTGGTTCAAACTTTGTTTTGTCTAGGACAAGCACTTTGAGTAACTCTGATCTAGATATTGTTTTTTTGCATCTTGGTGAAGTGAGCTATTGCAGACTGCCTCCCTGGCACAGAAACCTTTACATGTAGAATAAAATATAATTAAAAATACATAGCTATGCTGGAAGGAGAGAAAGAAAAACCTCTGGGCACTAGGAACTTAAAACTGGACTAAGAGTTTGCCTCTCAGCAACCCAGAGGAATATCTAGGTATATAGATAAAGACCCCACAATGTAATTATTAATATGGAAAATTCATGAAGCTTTCCATACTAGTAGAACTAAAAAATAAGTAAAGTTGCTTGATATAAGACCAATATACAAATGTCAAAGGAATGCAGTTGGAAAAGAGCTAAATATATGGAAATGAACATAAATTTATTATAAGTAATATAAGATTATATTTCTTTTCTTTTTTAAAAAAGATTTTATTGGGGAATTGGGGGAGGGGAACAGCGCTGGGGAATCGGAAAAGGGGAACAGACAAGTTGCTGTCCTTTTGTTCTTCAGTCTAGTTATGGACGACGTCGTTTCACTGGCCCATGTTGGTATTGTGATCATTGCACTCTTCCCGGGTGAGGCAGATCAGTCGTCGGCCATTGGATGGGTGCTCAGGGCAGCTCATGGCAGCTCTCGCTGGCTGCTGGCTACTTGTTAGATTATATTTAAATTGTACATTATATATATTTAGGAGTAATGGAAAAAGAAGAGAGAAGATTGGAAAGAGACAAATGGGAGAAAAATAGAAGAAAAAATAGATTAGAAAGGGAAAGAATCAGGAAATTAAAAATTAAATAATTTGACAAATATTTATTGAATGTTAGTTCTTGTTAAACAATTCCTAAAAGCATATGGCCTCTTAGAATTAAAGACTACTGGAAGAGGTGGGATTTTAGGCACCATGACCACATAGGATGTGAGATGTTTTGGACAGATTTGGGGGGATCCTGAAATTTCTTAAAACATTTACACTGTTTGGTTATTTGCTCCTTAAGTGAAAGGTGCTCTCAGCACACAATACTCCTGCTTGGTGTTTTGTAGCCGCTGGAGATTGCCACATCTCAGGTCTTCATCTTCTGCAAAGCCTTCAGACCCTTGTCAGGAGTCTTCTCAGAGCTCCCTTCACATTTATTCCTCAGGGTATAGATGAAGGGATTGAGGGTGGGGGTGATTATGGAGTAGAAGAGGGAGATGAACTTGCCCTGCTCTTGGGAATAGCTAGAAGGGGGCTGCAGGTACATGTAGATGGCAGGAAGGTAGAAGAGGGAGACCACCACCAGGTGAGAGGAACAGGTCCCAAAGGCCTTGTGCTGTGCCTTGGAGGACTGGATCTTGAGCACCACACAGGCAATGAAGCTGTAGGAGAACAGGATGAGAGCTAGGGGGACTAGCACAAAGAAGGTCACCAGCACAGCCAGTGTGGTGTCATTCATGGCTGTGTCAGCACACGGTAGCTTGATCATAGCTGGCACCTGACAGAAGAAGTTGTTTAGCACCTGCCGCCCACAGAAAGGCAACTACAACATCAAGACTACCTGAACGAGCGAGTTGCCAAAGCCACTGAACCAGGCCACAAGCACGAGCTGCTGGCAGAGAGGGCCATGCATGACAAAGTTGTACCACAGGGCCTCACAGATGGTCCAGGGCTATGGCGGCCAAGATGACGCACTCAGTGCAGCCCAACCAGTGGAATATCGTGTACTACACCATGCAGCCACTGTAGCTGATGGTTTTTCTGGGGCCGCCCATGTTGACCAGCATCTGAGGGACTGTGGTGGTAGTGTAGCAGAGGTCCAGGAAGACAGGTGGCTGAGGAAGGTATACATGGGGTTCTGGAGCTGGGGATCCAGCTGGGACACCAGGATGATAGTGATGTCTCCCAACATGGCAAGGATGTAGGACCCCAGGAGGACCACAAAGAGAGGGAGTTCCAGCCATGGCTTGTTAGAAACACCTAGAAGGATGAAGTCCCTAGTGGGGGTTCCACAAGGAGCTCTGTTGTCAGTTCTCATGCTGAGGCATTTCCTGGCATCTGTGATGAATCAGGAAAGGTGGGTGGAATAAAACCTAAGAAGAGGAATCACTTGCCTTCCTCAGTCTGTGCGTGCTTTCCCACACAGGCCCCACCCTGTCCCACCTCTGTGGAGACACTGACACATGGGGAATCAGGACCAGGACGTCTTGCTCTTCCTTATACTCTGTGACCTTGACTATGCCATTTAATCTTTCCTAAAATTCCTGCATCTTGTAAGAAGGGAAAAGCGTACCTGCTTCAACTACAGAGCCTTGGGGACAGTAAAGGGACATTACATTTGTGAAAGTATAGCGTATGGACAGTTTTCTTTCAGTTTAGTCAAAATCTGCCCTAGCTCCCATCACCACAACTCATTGACAGGGAATGGACCATTTTTTAAGGCTTTCTTGTTTTGCATTTTTGAGGTGCAGGTGGGAGAGAGGTGAGAGGTGGCATAGAGCAAGCGAAAGGCTTTGTAAGCAGCTGGGCGGTTTATCAATATGAACACAGCCTATTATCTCCTCAAGCTCTCCGCACCGTGTGGCCCCTCCCCATGTGGCCACTCACACATAAGCAGCACTGTCAGGAGCTCAACCCAGCGCCCTCTGTGTCCCTGGGTCAGGGGAGCTAAGTCACTGCCACCCCTGACTTGATCATGGCAGCTAATGTGACCCCAGAGCACAAGATTTTCGCATGGGAAGAAAAACCTTGACCCGAGTAAGAAACAGAGCCCCTTGTGTTGTGGATTGAAGGGTCAGATTGCCTCCAGGGCTAACATTTATTGGGCAGTTTGAACGACATTTGAATTCTCTGTACAACTTTGCCGGGCTGCTGTTTGCTGTAGGAGTTGGAAAATGCAGCGATCTGATTTCTGGGTTCCACTGCTGTTAAAAGGCAACTGGGTTGCCATCTGCTGATTCCCAGAGCCTTTCCACTGAGCTCCATTAGCCTTCAACCTCCTACCCTCTCCCGAGTGCTGGACATCCTCATGTTCTTGATGGGGTGATATAGTCCAATACAGGATTGAAATAAATTAAATCCGGTGCGCAGGTCATTGATGAAGGATTCATTTTAAGTTTCATATTTGGTGCTTTATGCATAAATAAAAAGTTAATCTACTCAGGTTAGATGCTGCAATAAACAAGCATGTCCTCCCCTGCCCAGTCCTACATTCTGAAGAACTCTAGTATCATTGAAAACAACCCAAACTCTGCAGGTCAAACGGGTAAATAAAAGCAATTCTCCTTCCTTTCTCTGTTGTTTCAGAACTATATCCTATTCTCTCTAAAGTCCTCAATATTCTGTGGAACACCCAATTATTGGACTTCTTCCCACTATTGTATAAAACCACTTCTAGGATAACTCTTACAGAATCTGATTATTTTATCTCTAATGGGAGCTCAGACCCTGGTTTTTTTTTTTCTTTCAGACCATAGTTTTGATGCAAAGAGCAGGATAGAGCAAAGTCATGCGAGCCCACATTTAAGGTAAAAAAGTAACTCTTCCATTTTTCTTTCCTAGGTTTCTGATTCTAAGGTTTCTTCTCAGAGTGTAAACTAGACAACAAAGGGAAAAATTGCAGGAAAGACAAAAAGGATGAAGGAATTAAGAAAGATAAAGGGGTAGTAGATACAGGCCACACTTAATAAACACAAATTCCTCATCCCTCCTTATGAGCCAGGTGCTGTGATAACAACTGTATATGATATCTTACTTAGTGCTTTCATGATGTGGTAAAGTAGATGATTTTACCCCCCATTTCACTGTTGAGCAGGGTGTTGGGGGAAGGATACCTTAGATTATCTGCACAGACAGCCACAAGTAGCAAAGCAAGACTGAAAGCTAAGGTCTTGCTCTTGATCATTATTTTCTCCAGCACTTTACTTCTAAAAAAGGAGTTAGGGGCCGACCAAGTGGCTCAGTTGGTTAAGAGCTCGCTTGGGAGTGTGAGCTCTGAGCAACAGCGGTTCGGGTCCCACCCAAGCTGAGCTGCCACTGAGCTGCCAACGGGTGGCAGGATGGCTCAGCTAAAAAAAAAAAAAAAAAGAAGTCTGTGACTTGGAAAGAAGTAAAGCATGAGTGCAAATGACTGAGACAGAAGAGAATGCCTGAAAAAAGGCAGTAATTTCAGAGAGTAGGAGGTGAGGGAATTGAGGAGGAGAGGCTGGACAGGCTTTTTGTAATTTCTGGTTCAGTATATTCAGTGTACTGGGTATTTGTGGGTACGTGTGTGAACATGTGTGTGCGCACACATGCATGCGCGCGCGCGCACACACACACACACACACACACACACACACACACACACACACACTGCATGCCATCCTGGCCCGACCATCCCGAGTCGGATCCCATGCTGTCCAGTCCTTTCCATAGGAAGCTTTGCTTCGGACCCGGCCCCTGCATTTCCTCCACCCTCCTCTGCCTTCCTACTGCCCTGATAGAGGTGTTCCCCAAGGTCCTGCCTTGCTTTTCTGGGTGAACACAGAAATTCCCTTCCAGACCTGTGTCTCCAGCTGCCAATTCTTCACTGCCACCTGGTCTTCCTTTTGACATTAACTGAAGCATCCCCACGTTTAACCTATCAGCCACTCTTCCATCCAACCAGCCCCTTCCGTCTAAGTTCTGGCTGCCTCTGCATGACTTCCTGACACAAAGTGTTCAGGTGGCTTTGATAATGTCCTATTCCTCACTCACCACATTCTATTAGTGACCATGTCCTATCAGTTCCATCAGCACAATGTCATAGGATCAGGCTGTCTCTATCCTTGTCACTGCCACCTGGACCCCTCTTAGAGCCTGCTAACCATCTTCCTTATCCAGCCCATCACTCACATTCTCAATGGAGTCAGCTTTCTAAGACTCAGGTCTTAAGAGCAAAGATATATTTAGGTCTTCCAGTTACCTGAAAAATAAGAACCCATGTCCTTAAATGGTTACGTGGTAAGAGCAGGGGCTGTATTCTCACACTGAATCCCCAGCAGTTTCTTCTGAACACCATCCCATCCCATGGGGCACCTTAATGATCGTTCTTACCCCATGCTCCTGGCTGGCTAGGCTGTGAGCACGTGAATGCTATGATATATATCAGTCGCTGTGTGACATACAGCCCTTATGATGCAGGCAGACATATGGTTGTAATGCCTGACACTGCTCCCAAATTCCTCCTGGGAGCTGACAGAGTGTGCTGTCTGCCCCAACAAACAAGAGAGGAAATTTGGAAATAATCTCAGGAAGCAGGAAAACAATGATTAGGCCATGGGGCTTTACTGCCTGTTAGCCCCAAAGACCTCTTCCTTAACCTAAAATTTAGCCTAAATCCCACCACCCATGTGACAGGTGCAGGCCCAGCCTCACTGCCAAGGCCATAACTGGGATTGATAGGGAAGGTGGAGTCCTGGGGATAACACTGTTCTTCACGGATATTAACAGGGACTGTTTCATCACGAAAAGGAAAAGATGCTTTTCTCATGTCTGCCAGTATCTCTAGTCCTGTCCGGATGATGCTTTTTTGTGGATGGAAGTTCTGAGTAAAACCAAGAAGTAAACTGGCACGGGGAAGGGGTCTGAGAGCACGGCTGACTCCGCCCCTTGCCGCTGTTCTGCTCAAGCCCCTCCTCCCTTCCAAGGCCAGGCTGTGGCTCTCTGTCCTCCTGCAGCTCCACCTGCTTCAGGGAGTGCCCTAGCCGGCTCCCCACCATGGATGTCCCCTATCCGCTCCATGGACAATGGGCTTGAGGAACATTGATAACCATATCCTCGTAAGGGGCTGAGGTAGAATTTTTCAAAATAGTTTAATTTTTTTTTTGGAAGAAGTCCTAATATTTATTTACTTTTGCTTGAGAAACATTTCAGTGCAGTTTGGTGGCTAACCATCTCAGTTTTTCCAGAACTGTCTTGATTTTAGCCCTGAAAGTCTTGCATCCTAGGAAACCCCTTGCTTCTGAGCAAAACAGAACAATTGGTTACCCTTATGTTTTATATAGGTAGTTCTCATTAAATCGTCACAATCGTATTGTGACGTAAGTACTTTGAATGAAAAACATCCAGCCTAAGAGAAAACTTATAAGAGTTTCTTTGAGCCAAACTGTCGACAATTGCCAGGAAGCAAAATCTCAACGGATTGAGGAAATGCTCTGAAGGATGGCAGTTTTACAGCTTATTTTGTACATAAAATCAAAGGAGGAAGGTTACATGAAATCCATTGGTGATAGATTAAGGGGGTGGGAGAAAGCAAAGCGGAGAAATCTCTGGGATTGGATAAAAGTAAATTGGAGAGACGGGTACTTCTTTCATATAGGTGAGTGCAGGATTGCTAACAGTTAGCTTTTTACAGCTCATAGAGATGGTAATCAGGAGACAAGCATAATAATGAGGAATTTTGCAGTTTTCAGCTCTGGTCTGGAAAAAGGATTAAAGATGTTATCTTAGGTACAGAAAGACAACAGGGCCACTGAAAAGGCACAGATTAACTTAATGAGGAAGCTAAAGATGTGACTTCCCACCATGGCCCACTTAGTTAAAAATTTGTGTGTGTGTGTGTGTGTGTGTGTGTGTTCATGCCATCTTAGTTTTAGTCTCCTAAGCTTGTCAGGTTTAACCTGTGGCCCTTTTTCCATACACATTTCCCCCTTTTGGTCACAAATCAATCCGAAGGATGCATTGATGACCAACCTTTTGGTGGGATAGTGTGGTTCCACAGTGCTAGGAAGGCTCATTCCTAGGAAGTCATAGTGTCAGCGTTTGTCTCACTGATAGTTGGACCATTGGGGGTGGGGCAAGACTATAACCTTAGATGGCATGGCAGTTAAGGCCAAATTATTTATTTATATTTTCTTTTTCTTTATTTTATTTTTTTAAACTGAGCTATCCTGCCACCTGTTGGCAGCTCAGCGGCAGCTCAGCTTGGGCCAGACTTGAACCGCTGTTGCTCAGAGCTCAAACCTTTGAGTGAGCTCTTAACCAACTGAACCACTCAGCCGGCCCATTTATTTATAT